CAGGGGGCAGACCATGGTCGGTCCACAGCAGGGGGCAGACCATGGTCGGTCCACAGCAGGGGGCAAACTCATGTTTCTGCGTATTCTCCTCCCGTTTGTAGTTAAATTTTGTTAAAAAAAACCCTCTTCAGTGCACCATTTCAGCGCCCTCTTCAACTCCTTTTCCCTATCTACTATTTTTCCCCTTGAGATCCCTCCATGTCCCGCGGCCTCGGGCAGAAGCTGTCACAACGGTTCAGGTCAAGAGGCAGAATGTGACCAACTCCCTGCCACCCTCCACCTCGCATCCCAGCTGGACATCTCTGACCATTATCCCATTTGTGCAGGCCTTCAGAAATTTGAGGGAAAGCTCCCTACTGCCGCCTTCCTTCCCCATCAGGGCTAAGCTGGCCAACATCTCCGCCACTTTTAAACACTGTGGTGTGGGGGAGCGCTCGTCCGCTCTTGCGCCTCACTCATGCGGGCCGACAGGAGAGGATCGGGTTGCGCGCGCCGGGCCGTTTAGGAAGCTGCTGATGATGGGTTCCGTAATGCTCTAAAGGAGTTGGATTCCTTAGTCTGGGAAGTGTATCTTTTGCCAGGGCGAAGCGGGACTCGGTGGGATTGAACACTTGTGACTTGCAGCGGAGCCTTCGCTCTCGGCGGGAAGGAAGACCTTAGGATTTATATTGTTATTTTTGGAACAAAAATAGAAAGCCTCACGAAGAATGTTTATTGTAAGACTGGAAACCTTGTGATTGTTTAGGGTTTATATATTTATGGGATTCTAAACCATATAGTAGCATTACACAGGGGGACATGAACGACAGCAGCTCTGGTCCATTTATGGAAAATATCGAACTTCTATGAGATTGGGAAGCGATATGGACACAATTTTTTGGTTTAGGGAAAACAGAACGAAGAACTTAATCCTAGGAACTTAATGCCTGGAACACCCAGCCAGAGTGTGTGCTACTAGTACCCACAGGATGTGCCTGGAGTCCACTAGTACCTACAGGATGTGCATGGGGTCCACTAGTACCCACAAGATGTGTCTGGGGTCCACTAGTACCCACAGGATGTGCATGGGGTCCACTAGTACCCACAAGATGTGTCTGGGGTCCACTAGTACCCACAGGATGTGCCTGGGGTCCACTAGTACCTACAGGATGTGCATGGGGTCCACTAGTACTTACAGGATGTGCCTGGAGTCCACTAGTACCCACAGGATGTGCATGGGGTCCACTAGTACCCACAGGATGTGCATGGGGTCCACTAGTACCCACAGGATGTGCCTGGGGTCCACTAGTACCCACAGGATGTGCATGGGGTCCACTAGTACTTACAGGATGTGCCTGGAGTCCACTAGTACCCACAGGATGTGCATGGGGTCCACTAGTACCCACAGGATGTGCATGGGGTCCACTAGTACTTACAGGATGTGCCTGGGGTCCACTAGTACCCACAGGATGTGCATGGGGTCCACTAGTACCCACAGGATGTGCCTGGGGTCCATTGCCATCAACAAAATGATTACTAGGCTCACCACCTTCCACAGGATGAGAATGGAGGCCTTAAAAATAAATTAAACTAAAGCGCGTGGAGACTAACACCTATAATAGTCCTTTCTCTTCTCGTCTTAGAGATCTATATCCCTAATGATCTACAGCATCCAGCTTCCATCGCCAACTTTGCCTCCCTCAATCTATCAAGAGGGAACCCCCCATTCCATAAAAGACCCCTTTTTCCTCCCACTATCATCCCTCCCTCCCTCCCTCCATCCCTCCTTCCATCCCACTCAGTAAAAATCATTTGAGGGCGTGTGCCTTGCCGCCGTGACCAGACGAGGCTCCTATAAACATACACACAAACTATAATCTGGCCCCGTCAATCACACTCTCCTACCACTCCCTTGCTGGGGCCACACTTCAAAGGACCCGCCGCCTTCTGAATCCGGCAGCAGGGGGCACAATAGGGCTATCCGGCAGCATCTTGCAAGGGCGAAGAGTCTGCAATGCGCCTAGGGTCAGTGGGCCTTGTGGCTGGTGTGGGGACATAGAGCAGTGTGGTCGGCGAGGACCCTATTCTTAGTCCCATAATTACTTGCAAATTGAATAAGCAGCGTTGAAGTAAGTTCCACCGCCAATATGCCTCCCAACACTGCTAGTGGGGAGGGAAGTTTGCTCTCCCTCCACACCTTCAGTTGGAAGGGAAAACTCCCTCTGCACAGCTAGAGAGAAAGAAGTTTCCCTCCTATATCCACACCACTAGTTGAAGGGAAGTTTCCCTCCTATATCCACACCACTAGTTGAAGGGAAGTTTCCCTCCTATATCCACACCACTAGTTGAAGGGAAGTTTCCCTCCTATATCCACACCACTAGTTGAAGGGAAGTTTCCCTCCTATATCCACACCACTAGTTGAAAGGAAGCCTCCCTCCGTCTCACTGATGTAGATGATTCTCTTTATGCTCTTCGTGTTCCAGATCATCTACCCGCTACACGCCAACAATACACAACAAGGAGAGTGACTCAGGAGGCAGCAAGCTCATGGCTTTGCTGATTATTATACACCTTACTTGGGCCCCATCCGGCCAAATATAACAACACTTCTAATATGCCTTCTTCTAGACCTTCTAATATGAAATTACGGGCTATTCATGCCCATGCCACCTCTTGGGGGGCTTAATCTTCATCAATCAATCATGATATGAAAGTACTAATAGTAACGGTGTGGGCAATCGTAGAAAATATGGACATGATGGGTCAGTAGAAAGTAGAGTTTTGTATTACTGAATTTGGTCAAACTGGAAAAGTTTCTCTAATTATGCTGCTAATGAAACCTAACCTAACCTAACCTAACCTAACTATCCTAGACCTAATTCACGTTTCTGAGGCCTAATATAGTACACATATGTACTACATTACGACTAGAAATATTTAAGTTTGGTTTTAAGCTAAATTTTATTTGACTATAAAATAAATAGTACCAAATTCTACTTTCTATGTGTCCAGCAGGAGGCTCCTGACGCTCACAGGAGCAGCGGGAAGCGTGTCGCATCACACTGAAAATCAGAACATTAAATTATATGACGCGTGACATTACGTGAAACAATGCAATTTTGACAGTAAATCGCAGGTTTCCGTTCCCTCAAGTGTCCGAGGATTAATCTTGTGTGGCCGAAATATGATCATAATAATAAATTAAATTACAGAAGGCCTATATTGGCCTATACGAGGCAGCTCCTATTTATATCCATCTCAACACCATCCATCTCTTCATATATCCGTCTTCCTCTATTTGTACATTATATCCATCTCAGCACATTCCTATGCATGAAACAATCCAGCAATACCACGCCTATTTATGTCACCCGGTTACTAGTTTCATGAATCAACCCACCATGATTCCAAGCCAGTATTTACCCAGGTCTTTTCTAACTCTAAATTGATCCAATTTATATCTAATGTTTCGAGTCCTATTTTATGTTTTATTTAGGATCATATTACATCCGCTTTGTTGTATTCTTTCCTGTATTTGTATATATATATATACATCAATCATGTCACCCTTTCGCTTCGTCGTTCTTAAAGATGTAACTAAGCTTTGTAATCTTTCCTAAGGAAGGTTACTAATTCCTGGAACTCTGTCATTCTTCTTTGTACCGAAGAGTGTGATCTAAATGAGGCAAGACAAAGCTTGAGAATAATATCATATACCTTCCTGCTCCTTTATTTCAATACACAACTTTTTTATGTAAATGTGATAAAATCGTCTGAACCGAATCATTGAATGAATCTAAAAGCGTTTGGAAGGCGAGGGTAAGTGGCTAGCTTGACCCTGCATGCACATCTAGGTGAATACACACACGTGTGTGTGTGTGTGTGTGTGTGTGTCGGGGAGCCGGTGGCCGAGCAGGCAGCACGCTGGTAACGTGATCCTGTTGCCCCGGGTTCAATCCTGGGCGCCGGCGAGAAACGAGGGGCAAGAGATTCTTTCACCATATGCCCCTGTTACCTAGCAGTAAATAGGTACCTGGGAGTTAGTCAGCTGTCACGGGCTGCTTCCTGGGTGTGTGTCTGGTGTGGAAAAAAAATAGTAGTAGAAACAGTTGATTGACAGTTGAGAGGCGGGTCGAAAGAGCAGAGCTCAACCCCCGCAAGCACAACTAGGTGAACACACACACACACACACACACACACACACACACACACATACACACGCACACACACACACACACACACACACACACACACACACACACACACACATACACACACACACACACACAAACTATAACAAACGACACGAGATGACACAATTAGCTAATGTGCAGTAATTAAAAGAGAGCGATCAGGTATAATTACATCTTAATGGACCAGGTGAATGGAAATCGATGTGTTTGAGGGAGAGAGGAAAGCGGGCCTCAGAGGCCAGGTCGGTGTATTTTAAGGGAGGTTCACCGTGTTTTAAGGGAGGCTCGAGTGTTTTAAGGGAGGCTCGAGTGTTTTAAGGGAGGCTTGAGTGTTTTAAGGGAGGCTCGAGTGTTCTAAGGGAGGCTCGAGTGTTTTAAGGGAGGCTCGAGTGTTTTAAGGGAGGCTTGAGTGTTTTAAGGGAGGCTCGAGTGCCAGTAGAGTTCCCCAAAGGGCTCAGTTTAAAAAAAATAAATTGAAAAAGCGCCAAAGTTTCAAACGAGATTTGTGCCGGGGGCACAAATCTCGTTTGAATGTTTAAACGTAAGTTTAAACGTAAGTTTAAACTCCTACGGTTATGTGAGGGTCTCACATAACCGTAGGAGACGAGAAACATATAAGGAAATACTCGTACTCAGTATAGGTGGTCCAAAAGGGCTATACTGTACACGGAAAGAAGAAGAAGTTGGGGAAGCCACCTCAATCTCCATCTTTATGGCCAGACTCGACAAGGAGCACGTCAGAAATGACCATGGGTTAAGACCAGGAGGTCCGTCACGGCTGATAGGGAGTAAAGAGTTATAAACTACTAAAGTGAAGTGTGATCTAGGTAAATAAAGTACCAGAGTGCCTCCCACAGTACCAGAGTGCCTCCCACAGTACCAGAGTGCCTCCCACAGTACCAGAGTGCCTCCCACAGTACCAGAGTGCCTCCCACAGTACCAGAGTGCCGCCCACAGTACCAGAGTGCCTCCCACAGTACCAGAGTGCCTCCCACAGTACCAGAGTGCCTCCCACAGTACCAGAGTGCCTCCCACAGTACCAGAGTGCCTCCCACAGTACCAGAGTGCCGCCCACAGTACCAGAGTGCCTCCCACAGTACCAGAGTGCCTCCCACAGTACCAGAGTGCCTCCCACAGTACCAGAGTGCCTCCCACAGTACCAGAGTGCCGCCCACAGTACCAGAGTGCCGCCCACAGTACCAGAGTGCCGCCCACAGTACCAGAGTGCCACCCACAGTACCAGAGTGCCACCCACAGTACCAGAGTGCCACCCACAGTACCAGAGTGCCGCCCACAGTACCAGAGTGCCACCCACAGTACCAGAGTGCCACCCACAGTACCAGAGTGCCACCCACAGTACCAGAGTGCCGCCCACAGTACCAGAGTGCCGCCCACAGTACCAGAGTGCCGCCCACAGTACCAGAGTGCCGCCCACAGTACCAGAGTGCCGCCCACAGTACCAGAGTGCCGCCCACAGTACCAGAGTGCCACCCACAGTACCAGAGTGCCACCCACAGTACCAGAGTGCCACCCACAGTACCAGAGTGCCACCCACAGTACCAGAGTGCCACCCACAGTACCAGAGTGCCGCCCACAGTACCAGAGTGCCACCCACAGTACCAGAGTGCCGCCCACAGTACCAGAGTGCCACCCACAGTACCAGAGTGCCGCCCACAGTACCAGAGTGCCACCCACAGTACCAGAGTGCCGCCCACAGTACCAGAGTGCCACCCACAGTACCAGAGTGCCACCCACAGTACCAGAGTGCCACCCACAGTACCAGAGTGCCGCCCACAGTACCAGAGTGCCGCCCACAGTACCAGAGTACCACCCACAGTACCAGAGTGCCACCCACAGTACCAGAGTGCCGCCCACAGTACCAGAGTGCCGCCCACAGTACCAGAGTGCCGCCCACAGTACCAGAGTGCCGCCCACAGTACCAGAGTGCCGCCCACAGTACCAGAGTGCCACCCACAGTACCAGAGTGCCACCCACAGTACCAGAGTGCCGATGGCAGGAGCAAGGTCCTGAGGGGCGCGGCACTCAGAGTTTGATTGGTAGTGCTTTGATGTTGAGTGCCACCCTTTCACCCCCCTGCCCCCCCCTAGGGCCTCGCTGCTGGCCCTGGCACCCCTCATCCACCTGCCCCACCCCCTTCCTGGCCTCCCCCTTCCCCATACACCTGGTGGGGGAGAGAGGCAGAGGGAACTGGGGAGGGGGATGTGAGGGAAGGGAGGGAAGAAGGGGAAGGGATGTAGGGGACGGGAGGGATAGTGAAGGGAAGGTAAGGGGGAGAGGAGGTGAGGGGGGGGATACAGGGAGGGTGGAAAGGAGAGAGAGAGAGAGAGAGAGAGAGAGAGAGAGAGAGAGAGAGAGAGAGAGAGAGAGAGAGAGAGAGAGAGAGAGAGAGAGAGAGAGAGAGAGAGAGAACACACTTGAGGGGAGACATTCACGAGTAACTTCATTTATGTAAGAGTGAGACAAAACAGGTTAATGACTTCACACCTCACAACCCCCTACAACCTCCCACGACCCCCCACAACCCCCCACGACCCCCCCCCCATAACCCCCCAACGCCTCACAACAACCAAAACTTCCGACAAAATCGACAAAAAACAACAGAAAACAAAAGACGAGCGCCACATCGAACCGGGTTGACGGAGAGAGACTAATGGCCGCTCTTCTGGCAACAAGGACGAGGACATTTGAGTTTTGCAGAGAGCGTGAGGGCGCGAGACCACTGACGCGGAAACACAAACAGAGCAGCGAGAAGGCGGACGCGGGACTTTCAAATGGCTGGGCGTCGCTAGGGGTGGCAAGGGCTGGGGGGGAGAGGTGTTGGTGGAGGGCTAACACCTTTCATCTCTCGTTTGATCCCCGACGCGCGCCAACCAGCGCCCGCCGAGCCAAAATGTTTCGGCCAGAGGCGAGGATTTAGTCTCCAGGAAGTGCCATCACCAGGTCAACGGCTTCCCGGAATTAATGGGAGCTTCAGACACTCGCCGGAACTAACATTGGCGCTTCAGAGGACGCAGAAATCCTGCCGTTATAGCCTATTATATTGTGGTTTAAAACTTCTCAATGCACTTGAAGGAAATTGAGTTGTTGATGGCGGCGGCGGCAGTGGCTTGGACAGGTTTAGAAGAGTAATCGAATCTGAGCATTAGAGCGGTTGAGGGGGACCTTGTGAAGGTGAGTCTGGAATATTGGCTAGCAGGAGACGTCCTCAACGCTCTGAATACTGCCACAACCTCTATCACATGTTCTACATATAATCTGACCATCGCTAGAGCTGTCGTGATTAGCTACGACAACATAACCGAAAGAAATTTTGACATGACCGAAGCAATACATACAAAATACTCATCTATCAACAGCCAACTCCCATTGAGGTACGTAAAGTCATTCTCAACACCAAGACATCACCGCCAGCTTGCATCACGGGTCTCGCCCCGGCCAGCGTCAACTGGGTATAACATCTTATCTCATCTCATATGGAATAAATTATATACTTCTGCTAGTTCGCACCCACTCTCCTTCTGCCCCCGAAGAGAGCTCCAGCGAAACTCGTTATTCGTCATAAAATTCGTCCCCATTTCTTTAAGAAGTGCCGGACCAACCGGGCTGTGGTGGATATGTGGGCCTGCGGGCCGCTCCAAGCAACAGCCTGTTGGACCAAGCTCTCACAAGTCAAGCCTGGCCTCGGGCCAGGCTTCTACCTGGGGAGTAGAAGAACTCCCAGAACCCCATCAAGGAGGTATCTTGATGGGGTTCTGGGATTATGCGTATGTGAGATTGAAGAAGAGAGAAAGATTAGATGAATGACTCAAGCACGACTCTATTATAAATTTCTTATGTATTTTTTCACTTTGAAATGAAATTTAAAAGTTAACTCTCTAAAGTTACGTTTAAAAGTTTATTGGGGATCAAACGTGTCACTAAATAACCTGTTACGAATCTCTCAACCTCCCCGTTCCTTCCTGCCGCCCCTTCCTCCCCGCCCCTTCCTCCCCATCCCTTCCTCCCCGCCCCTTCCTCCCTGCCCCTTCCTCCCCTCCTCTCCTCGCTCTCTTACCCTCCACACAGACAGCGGCGAACACAATTAGAGCGAGTTTTGACGCCATCTACCAACGGCAAGAAAATGAATCAAAGAGCGAGAGAGAGAGAGAGAGAGAGAGAGAGAGAGAGAGAGAGAGAGAGAGAGAGAGAGAGAGAGAGAGAGAGAGAGAGAGAGAGAGAGAGAGAGAGAGAGAGAGGAAACTTAAAACACATGCGCCTTTTATCAATCAACTTGGGTATCCAAGTCCTTTGAGGTAACTATTGTCTTGCTGGCTCCGGAGGAGAGAGGGAGAGAGAGATGTAGAAAGAAAGGAAGGAAGAGAAGAAGGAAGGATGAATAAAGTGAAAGACTAGGAAAGCGAATGCTATGAAGGAAGATGGGAATCGAAGTAGAAACTTCAACTTATAGATAAAATTAGTGCGGAGACAAAGTCGCATACACACACACACGCACGCAAAGTGCCACTGCAAGTGCACATACGCACACACATACACACCTGTTAAGTACACACACATCCACATTGTAAGCACACAAACACACACACACTAAGTACACCCCCTCCCCCACAGTTTAAGTACACACACACACACACACACACACACCCACACCACACACACACACCCACACACACACACACACACACACCCACCCACACCCACACACACACCCACACCCACACCCACACACACACACACACACCCACACCCACACCCACACCCACACACACACCCACACCCACACCCACACACACACACACACACACACACACACCCACACACACACACACACACCCACACCCACACCCACACACACACACCCACACACACACCCACACCCACACCCACACACACACACACCCACACCCACACCTACACACACACCCACACACACACACACCCACCCCCCCCCCCCCACACACACACACACACCCACACCCACACACACACACACACACACACCCACACCCACACACACACACACACACCCACACCCACACCCACACACACACACCCACACACACCACCCACACCCACACCCACACACACACACACACACCCACACCCACACCTACACACACACCCACACACACACACCCACACCCCCCCACCCCCCCACACACACACACACACACACACACACCCACACACACACACACACACACACACACACACACACACACCCACACACACACACACAGTATTTGCGGAAATACTAAAAAAAAAATAACTCTGAAGTAATGACTGCAGTGATGGAGGTGGCCATGAAAGCAGCCACCTCGCAGGAGGCGGCACGCTCCACTAGCCAACTGCTGGAAAGGAAAAGATCAGTGGTTGCTGTGGGTATTAGGGAACAGGAAGGAACCAATAGGACAGAGTGGAATGACAAGGACAAAGCAGCAGTGAATGAAGTACTAAAGGCACTAGACATGGAAGGGGCCGAGCATAGCATTGAGAAGGTTTTCAGGCTAGGCCGGTACAACAAAGACCGAGACCGAATGATAAAGATAGTGTTTGCAAACGAGAACACAAAGGAGAGGATCCTATCAAGGAAGAGCTCCCTGAAAAACGTGGGAAAATTAAAAAATGTATTCCTCCAGCGAGACATGACAAGGGAGGAGAGAGCCGTGGCGGCAGAAGCAAGGAAGAGGCGCAGGGCGAGAGGGGAAACCAGGAAGTCACAGCTCCCAACACAACACCCCCAGAGGCGAGGGGGGAACCCACAACCAGCTACCCAGTAACACCAGAAGGGAGGACAACCCCGCCTCCCTCCTCTGCATAGAAAACCCCCCTACCCCAAACCCTCCCTGCTCCCACTCAAAAGTTCAGCCAAATCTCCCTCCCCCCACACCCAATCCCCACCCTTCTACCCCTCCCCTCCTCCCGAGTCCTCCCTCCCCCCCTTTCCTTCCCGTCCTCCCTCCCCTTTCACCCCATACCCTCCCTGTCCCTCCCCCTTCACTGGATCCCCCGCCCCTCATTCCAGTATCCTCTGAGATCCTGTTACCCACCTCACAGGTCCTCACACCCATGGAACAGCCTCCCCCACCAGCAGAACACTCACCAAGGAGGCGATTTGAGAAGGGACAGAAGAAAGTGAGCCTCAAAGCGATGTACACTAACATAGATGGAATTACAAATAAAGCAAATGAGCTTGGAGAACTGGTACTAGAGAAAAACCCAGACATAATAGCCCTCACAGAAACAAAGATCACGAAAACAATAACAAATGCAGTGTTTCCACAGGACTATTATGTTATGCGGAAAGAGAGGGAAGGAAGAGGTGGGGGTGGTGTAGCTCTGCTGGTAAGAAAAGGCTGGGATTTTGAGGAGATGGATATTCAGGGCTGTGAAGGTTTCAGTGACTACATAGCAGGTACTGTAACAAATGGAGGGAAAAAAATTATAGTCGCAGTCATATATAATCCACCACCAAATGACAGAAGATCTAGACAGGAATATGATAGAAACAACATAGCCACCATTAACATAATAGAAAGAGCAGCTTCTGTTGCTAGCAGGAATGGATCTGGACTACTAATTATGGGAGACTTCAACCATGGGAAGATAGATTGGAAGAACAGAGACCCGCATGGAGGACCAGAAACATGGAGAGCTAAGCTGCTGGACGTGGCAACAAGAAACTTTCTAAGCCAGCATACCAAAGAGCCAACAAGAATGAGAGGAGAAGATGAACCAGCAATGCTTGATTTGATATTTACCCTAAATGAATGGGATATAAGGGAAGTTAAGATGGAAGCGCCCTTGGGAATGAGTGACCACAGTGTATTGAACTTTGAGTACCTGGTAGAGCTAGGACTTATCTCCCGCCAAAAAGAACTAGGAATCAAAAGGCTGGCATACCGAAAGGGGAATTATGAACAGATGAGAAGTTTCCTAAGTGAAATACCTTGGGACACAGACCTCAGAGACAAGTCTGTACAGGGTATGATGGACTATGTTACCCAAAAGTGTCAGGAGGCAGTAAACAGGTTCA